CCTAACATGCCCCAGCGCAGCTCGGACCGGCGGAGCGTGGCGCACCATACAGCCGAAACACAACGTTGGAACGGGATGCAACGCTCGTCAGCCATGGAAAAGGAGCGTGGGAAAAAGGTGACGTCCTTTTTAGGCATATGTGACGCAAAACCCTTTGCAAGCACGGTTATACTGCAGCCGTAAGATTCATAAGAAGTGAGGCACATTCCTCATCCATGAAAGGCACGTTCATACCAAATGCGGGAATTTGCATCAATGGGGGCGAAACTGGACGGCTAACGTGCAGTGTGGCAAAGAATTGCAGCCTAATGTGTTTGGAAGCCTTGTTTTGACGAAATACCGCGGAAGTTATCCGGACTGATACTAACATGAACAGTCTGACGTTCTCAAATCCAAGTTGTATCAGCGCGTTGTGGTGATAAAAGGGATGTTTGCTACTAAATGAGATCAGCATAAACATCACTGTCATGATTGTCACGAATGTCAAAAGATATGTGGCCATCGAAACCAAAAAGGAAAACTGAGGGATTAGTAGGCAGAACATGGTATGTCAGAAGTCTGTGCTTTGGGTTGGTACAGGACAACGCATTGAAGTGTCCAGGCCAAGGTGCAGATCGGAGAAAGCTGTGAATAGCACAAATCACATCCCGAAGTGCTGGCCAACGAGTAATCAACACTGGTTAGTGCACCTGTCGCAAACGTGAATGTCCACACATCCGGACATTCAACCTCGACAAAACACGCCGGCATTGATTCTGCGAACCGCCTGCACAGAGCACGTCACAACGCTACCAGGCCAGCGAACTATTGCCCCGTACAGGAGCTCTAAGCATTTCTCACTGTCCTTGATTGTGTAAGTTCGATATCAACAGCGGGTTACAGTCGGCGAACAATGTTTCCGTAGACGCCGATCGCCACATCGCGAACGCACAGGCTGATCGGGCCAGGCCCACTGATGACCGACGATGCTTGCCTGGATTAATGTCATGTATTTTGCATGTCTCACTGTTTGCAGCTACATTTCTTATCAGTGCTGGTCAAATGATCCTGCTTTTGGTGTCTCACTTTGCTACCTCATGCACCAGCAGCCCTGTGATTCAGACACGCACTCTAGCTCTCATAGCGCTATGAAGGCTGTCTAAGACAAGAAGACTTCATTGACGTGTTCAGGACTTCATTGACAAAAGAACACGTACATCACTAATACTCGCTTAGATAGGTGAACGCTGACAAAGGCTTCAAATAACATCGTATGACGAATTTGGTTAACATGTCACGGATGCAGTAATTGTTTGGTCCATTGTCCTCGTTTGGTTCGTCAGTGTACACTTGTGTATATGCTAACACACCAGGCGAGAACCATGGTCCGAGCAGTATTTTCATCCGTGATGCTAATACCTCGTCTCAGTCGGTCCTTAGAACTGGTTAACATGCCAGGCCTCAGCTGATGGCGGCTGACATCATTGTTTTCAGCAGGCTGCGGCCGCCTGTAAGCTGTGCGCCCAACATTCGGCAGTCGGCGATCTGGAGACTTGGCGCCCGAAATCTGGCCGCTGGCCTTTTCAAAGGACACCGTTTGTCAGATTGCCTGGCCCAATTGAATTGGTTTCAAATCAATGTCGTGGGAGGCCTCTAACGGCCCCGGCACCAAATAATGACTGCGGACCAGCTCAGCCCACAAGAGCGGCGATGAAGGCGTGGGACTGACGCAGGTCACGTGCCGCCTCCACCGCCACCTCCGGCCCCTGCCAGCGCCCCGTCTGCTCCGCCGTCAGCACGATCCAGCCAGGCCGCCGACGGTCTCGCCTCCGGTCCCACCTCCAGTCGCACTTCTGGTCGAACGTCTTTGGTCGACCCAATTACTCATCGGTGGGTCGATAGCTTATCGCCTGTGGTGCTCGCCGCCGTTCCCCACGCCCTCTGACGGCCCGCTGTGCTGATTGGTTTAACGATGCCGGACGAAAAACGTGACGTTTGTAGGCCCGTCGTAAAATCGATGGCGGGATTGATCGGTGTTAATGCGCTTCGTCCTTACGCATGGTAGACTTTGGCAAATGTTTTCCCGTAGATAAACAGTTTTTGATCGGGGGTTTCGGCTGTAGTCATCTAGTTTCTTGGAGAGGTTGCACACTTGCCACGTGGGTGTTGCCGCATGGGTGCTGATTGCAACATGGCACGCTTGCGGTGTGTTTAAAGCGAAATGGGATCTGGATTCGCGTAAAAGTTTTTGCGTGGTTTGTCAGCTCTATTTGTGCTGTCAGACCCTGTCTGATGAAAAGTAGATGACTTCGCTCTGAGCCTTGCTCGCTCCAAGTGCAAACAAACATGAGTTGCATCTGCGGCAATACGTCTATTGACAACCGTCATCATCCACCTCCGCTGTGACGTATGGTATTTCGGCGCTCTACCCAATGCCGCTACACATCCGACTCCAGTTTCACCCACTGCCGCTACACATTCCACTTCGATTCCGAATCCGGTGCCCCTGTCCGAATGTTTGTGTCACCGTGGCTATGGCGTCCTGAGTGACATAATCTTTCGCCTATAAAGTAAACATGGCCATAGCTAGATCGTTCATCTCGGTCCGGCTAGACTCTGGCGAGCTTTTATGGCAACATTTTTTGATATCGGTGATACTCTGCAACAGAAAACGTGTTTATATTAATAGTATGTAAACTCTACATATCTGTGTCGATTGAAAGTAGCCAACCGGCGGGCCCATCACACGCATCCTGTTCTTCACTGTCATATGCCCCATTAGGTGGCAGCCGGGGAGGCGGGGCGGCTGGCGGCCGGCGCCTGGCCGCGGCGACACCGCTGGCATGTGGCCCGTCAGATGGTAGCCGAGCTGGCGATGCGGCTACCGGCCGACGCCAGCCCGTGGTGACAACGCTGTCATGTGCCCCGTTCAACGAGTCCTCAGTTTTAATGGCCGCGGCGACCCGTTACCCCACCATTCGGACCGAGTCGAAATATGCAGGCAGCTTCGGTTTACAGCCTAACTATTTTATGGCTGGGGATCGCTCTGGGTTCAGTCTGCCAGGCTTTAGCTCCAGGCATCAATATGGATTAGAGGGAGTGTGCCACCTTTTGGGACGAAATCTAAGTGGCACACGTATCAAAGCAAGGCGTGTCCGATTCTGATGGCAAATCCAATCTTCTCGAAACTGGATCCGCTGCTTGAATCGAAAGCGCTCTAAGGCCACAGGTTTTCCATCTAGAACAGAGCTTTTCGTGAAGTTCTTCAAAAAAGTTCGCTGCCCATCACCATAAAACACATATGGTTGTTATCTTAGTGTTAGAAACTAACGAATAAATATTAATGCAATATACTGCATGAACAGACTGCTTTTGCACTAAACTGTGCCTGGCCGTGTACAGATTGCTTTGTATTGACATGCACATACATATACATACTATTTGTCATGGTGTACTCTTTTTCTTGCCTAATGAAGCAGCCGCCAGAGAGGCTATGAAAAGCGTCGCTAGTGGACACAAGACTTATACACACAGGCTATCAGGCTTTGACCAGATAACTATGGCTGCGAAAAGTCATGCTGCCGCACAGGTGAACCAGCTCGTTTGTCCAGAATCGAATTCTTTCAGTGTATGTTTGTAAAAGCCACAGCGATAATTGACGCAAACTACCACGGTATTCAAAATGTGGAGTACATTGCTAGTAAAATTTGGAGATGTTCCTGTTCGTCGGACATGTGTAGCTTTGTTTCCTGCACTTCACAAGAATTTGCATTTGCAAGTACAAAACGAGCAGGCATTAAAGCTGGGGAGTGTTGCATAATTATGACGAGATCACCGCATTGTGCGACATGCTTTTTGGTACCTAGTATGATGTGGACACGGAACGGCCGCACGGTATTCTTTGGCATCCGCCAGATTCTTTGAGTAGTCCGTATGGCTCGGATGAGCTTGAAATAGGTAATTCAGCACGAAACGTCAGCTTATGATGATATTTTATATCATTTATCGTCGAGTTTATTTCTTGAGATACGTTAGGATGTTAAGCTCTTCATTTCTTCTCCCGTCACGCTCTTGCAAGACATTTCAGGCCCCATTATCATATTTCGCTCTCAAGAAGGCTGGATATCCTTCAATACACCATCATTCATGTGGCTACAGGCTTAACAAGACTTGTAGGCCATCAGGCACCTTTACCGCATTTACAACCGTGTGGCCATGACACCATGTGAGACAGAACCACCATGAGGCCTGGGTTTGGCCGTCATGGAAAGGTGCTCGATGCCTTACATGTGTACTTCGTGATCGCTGTTAATTCACAAGCACTTCCATATTTTCTCGGCTGGGTGGCAGGACAGGACTCGCAAGAATGATCGAAAGGATATTTATATACTAGCCATATCTGTATTCTCAAAGACTTGTCTTTCGCCAAGGCCTATTGGACTCGCAAGACCCTGAAGCAAATGACTTTGATATTGATGTCGTGCTGCTGCACCTCTGCGTCAGCACGTGGTGGTTCGGCCCAACCCTGTGCGACGTGTTCGTGTGCGCCGACGTGCTCTTGTGCACGGCCAGCATCCTCAACACGATGCTGATGGTGATGTTGCAGCCAGTAGACGGAAACACCATTGTGTTGCGTACGATATTTTACGCCATGAACGACAATGTGTCATAGGAGCCGCCGTTGGCGCGCGCCAAACCGTTGACCTCACCACCCCCATGGACAGATGGAAACGTCGCCAATTTCCAAGAGACTGACCCCCGATCGCCTCTAACGATCGGATGTTTGCAGTAGCGAGACGTACCGGGATGTCGGCCTCCGGCGACCGTCGTGGTTCCGGCACCAAGTCCCAGGCGGTCTCGCAGTCATCGGCCACCCCCGCCCACCAGGCCCCGTGCGCCGACACCGTGTAAAGCTGCGCGCGCGTCCGCCCCGCCCAGCCACGAGCGGTCGCCCCTGCCGCGGCGCGGCGCACCTGTCGGCCAGGGAGGTCCGCCGCTCCGGCCCCCGGCGGTCACGGCGGCCATGGCCGACAACGGCTCCGAGCCGACACCACCGACGCACGTCGCCGATGGCGGCTACCCCTGGGAGACGCGCATCGTGCTGATGCTGGTCCTGCCCGTCGTCATCCTCTGCACCATCATCGGCAACGTGCTGGTGTGCCTGGCCGTCTGCCTGGTGCCCAAGATCCGCAGCCAGCCGTATACGGTGCTGTACGTGTCGCTGGCCGTGGCCGACCTGTTCGTGGCCGTGCTGGTGATGCCGATCGCGCTGCTGCACCTCTGCGCCGGCACGTGGCGGTTCGGCCGAACTCTCTGCGACGTGTTCGTGTGCGCCGACGTGCTCTCGTGCACGGCCAGCATCCTCAACATCTGCGCCATCAGCGTGGACCGGTACCAGGCCATCACCGACCCGCTGCAGTACTCGCAACGGCGTATCGAGAAACTGATGGCGCTCTACATTGGCGTGGTGTGGGGCGGCGCCATCTGCATCAGCATCATCCCCATCGTCATCATCGGTAACGAGCACGGCAAGGACGACATGTGTGCCGTCAGTCAGAACATCTACTACCAGGTGTGGGCCACCGTCATGTCCTTCTACCTGCCGCTGGCCGTCATGATTTTCGTCTACATGAAGATCCTGAAGGCGGCGCGCATCATCATCAGCCAGGAGCGACGCTCCCAGGGTCACCTGCCACGCCGGCCTGAGCCGGCCGAGGTCATCAAGAGCGCTTCCGGCTACGACGTGCGCCTGTGTCAAGTGCGCGATGCGACCGGCCTGCACGGCTGCCTGCGCAAGGGCGCCGTCAACAACAACGTCAGCAGCCGGCCGCGGTGGCGCGCGCGCTTCTGCCCCTGGTCTTTCGAGGTGCCGCGCGAGAAGAAGGCGTCGGTGACGCTGGGTATCATCATGACGGCGTTCATCCTGTGCTGGCTGCCGTTCTTCATCCTGGCCGTAATCCGGCCGTTGGTGGCGCGCGGCAGCATTCCCAACTCCCTCTCCGACGTGTTCCTGTGGCTGGGCTACTTCAACTCGCTGCTCAACCCCATCATCTATGCCACGTTCAACAAGGACTTCCGCAAGCCGTTCCGTGAGATTCTGTGCCTCCGCTGCCGCTCGCTGAAGCCGCTGCTGCGGAAGGAGCAGTACCTGGAGCAGTATGGCTGCTCGCAGGGATCGGTCGGCTCCCGCGCCGGCCTGCAGGTAAGTGCCGCCGGGTGTCCGGGTCGAGTGTCTGGGCCCCGGGGTGTCCGGGTCGAGTGTCCGGGCCCCGGATTGTCTGGGTCCCGGGGTGTCCGGGCCGAGTATCCGGGACGAGTGTCCGGGCCCGGGAGCCGCAGCCCGGTGAGGCGGGCTGACGCCCGGCGGCTGGCCGTGATGCCCCCTGATAACGCCCTCTCACGAGTGGATGCATCATGCGAAGATGGGAAAAGCAAAGGGTCACGCTACTTGCTGTTGCAAACTGGCAGCGTGTTTCTTTTAAGGAATCGTGCCGTTATTCACGCGTTTGGGGCCACTAGGTTATAATTAACGTTTCTATCTTTGCGATGTTATGGTACACTACCCATCGAGTGTGTCTTCTATTTCTTCTGTAGGGATAGCATTTCTAGTGGGGATGTGAATGAAGTAGCTCTAGTCTTTACGCTCCCGTACTCAGTGTGTCCATGTCTTGCGACTTGTATCTATACAAGTGCATTATCACCTTATTGGTCGCAACATAAGTGCATTATTCCGTGAAAGGTCCCAGCTGCGCTTTGAAAGACATGTATGCACCCGAGGAAACAGTTCGGGTTCCTTTCGCAGGGACATTTCCAGGAGTTTCAGGCGCGGTGCCGATCAAATAGTGGCACAGTGACGTTTAGGTGTTTTGCCTGCGCATTTCGGCAGGCACCATTGGTGGTTATATTTTGAATGGAGCAGGCACTGGCGTTGATCCAGATCCCAGACAGTCTGCTGTTTAGGTGCATATTCGTTTTTACCAGAAAATAATTGCACCTCCGTTTCTTTGCATTTAGGACGCCTAAATTTTGTAAATCCATTTGCAGGGTTAAGTGTGAGCGTTCGCTGCGCACGGGTAGTCTTTCAATGGAGTCAGACCCGAGAAAATAAGCTGATCCGACTGGAGAGCTTTCCTAGCGTGCTCTTTCTATCTCTCGATTAAATCGGAACCCAAGAGCGATGGCTTCGCTCCGCCCAACGACCGACTTCTCCGCAATGGCTGACTGCGCTAGGAAGAAAGCGCTGACTCATTATTTTTATGTGGCCAAGTCGCAGCCTGGCGAACATCACTTCAGTCGTGAGGGGGTTCGCTGGTAGCTTCAGCGGCCAGAATCTGAGTTTTCGTTGACCTATTATGTATGTGGCAGCCATCGACTTCATGGCATAATGGGGCGATGGGCCAGCCTTTGTTTTGCCGCTGCAGTGAGCCACTTCCCTGAAGCAGACGGCCCGGGGGTGGTGTTCATGTCAGTGTCGCGACTAGTCCGCGGTCATAGTATTCTCCGTTGAGGGGGTGGGCTAGATATTCAGCTGAGCGGAATCCGTTACGCAACGTTTGTTCCAAGGTAATGTGACGTTTGAAGGCTTGGTTGTGGCCTACTTTGCTCGTGTTTTAATGTAAGTTAGAAGTTGTAAGTTAGAAGTTGATTTCTTCCAAATGGATGCATGTGTGCGCATCGCATTCTACGGGGGAGTAAGCAAGTTGGTCAGACTACCGCGACCCAGTGCATAACAGCAGGTGTGCATGAGAGACTGGCCACTGTTCTGCGTATCCTGAAGCGTGGCAGTGCATGTGTGCGAGAGACTGGTCCCTTTTTGGCGTATCGTGAAGCATAGCAGTACGCGTGTGCGAGAGACGGGCCCCTGTTCGGCGTATCCTGAAGCGCAGCAGTGCGTGTGTGTGAGAGACGGGCCCCTGTTCGGCGTATCCTGAAGCGTAGCAGTACGCGTGTGTGAGAGACGGGCCCCTGTTCGGCGTATCCTGAAGCGCAACAGTGCGTGTGTGTGAGAGACGGGCCCCTGTTCGGCGTATCCTGAAGCGTAACAGTGCGTGTGTGTGAGAGACGGGTCCCTGTTCTGCGTATCCTGAAGCTGTGGCTGCCACGCACCAACTTTGATACTCTGTACAGGCTTCAAAAGCCCTTCAGCAGAGATCAAGCTAACCGGTATTTACAATTTCCTGAAAGCCTGGCGTCGAAATCAAGACGAAACCAGCCGTTGCTGCCAGTACAGCCGCAGGCCTTAAGGCTATATATTGCTTATCTTATTCGTTTACATAGTCAGCATAGGCTGGGGCGAAAAAGGCTTCTGATTCGCCAAATATGAGCGAGGACAAAACCAACACTTTTGCGAGCCAACTGGTGACAGAATTGCGGATATTATAGGAAATATCAGCGGACCGGACCATGTTACAACAGACCATTCCAGCTATACGAAACTCAAAGCTTAGCATTGGTCTGTACTCGCTAACGCTTGCAGCGTGAGCATGTGTAGAGCACACGTCGAAACATTGACGTTTCGCTGTATGGGAAAGTTGAACCACTAAGCACTGCCAAACATAGTAGCTTTGATTTGGATAGTTTTTAGCAGGTGGCAGAAATATAATACAGAATTTACTATATCAGTGCTGACGTTACAGCTCACTGGCGACACAGTGCTTTTCCAATGTCCCTCAGTTCAGTGTTTTTCACATATTTTTCAGCCAAGATTCACTTCACATTCTTAACAGTAGGAAATACCAAATACCTAGGCTTATTACTAGTCGTAAGAATCGTGATTGGCCACAGTATCTTGCGACGAGCGTGATCACTTTGCTACACAGGATTTAAAGCGTCGTGCCATTTGAGACAGATGGGCTCGAGTGCTTGCCATGCGGTAATACGTTGGGTTCAGTGCAAGGTTACGGACTGCTGTTGTTGTGCTCATGTTGTAAGAAGCTCACGGGCTGGAAGAACGTAGCAAATCGTCAGTTTTTTTAAGGTAATAACGTTAAGAAGTTCCGCCGATCTAGGAGGATTGTTGTTTGTCGGTACCTGAGCTGTAGCTACAGAGGTAAACAGAGGACGTTGGAGAAACGCATGCCAGAATTCATCCGGGGCTTCCTGCTGCTAAGGGAAAGGGCAGCTTTGAGGTGAAACGCCGAGCATTGCTGGTGTAGGCATTGCATTGCACCTTGCCCGCTGCACCTCAGACTTCGGGTACTGATTGGTGGACAGGCGGGAGGTAGAACACTTTATTGTCATGGTGCATTTAAAGCTAAAGAGAGGTGCTGGAGGTGGTATGAAACGCTTTTAATTGTCATTTTGTTTATATAATGCTAAATGGAGACAATAGGGGTGGCCACAAATCTCTTCTGCATCTGCTGACACCAATATTGCATGGGCTTCGTACGAAATCTCGTTGATAGAGACCGCGTTAGGAAGCTAAAGTCCAGTGCCAGTAATCATTAAACGCAGAAATGAAGGTCGCCAACAGATTGTACGATGACGTCACAGAACCAGAAGTGATCGTGTTTCAGGTGCTTGCAAAACCGTGCTATCGGTAAATGTCGGGCTACGGCGATGCAGTTTTGCAAAATACGTAAGGCTCAGGGAGGGAATGGGTGGGTTGCAGGCAGAACAATACGTGAACCTGCCTCCAAAGACATTTTCCCTCCAGATTTGACGCACTTCTTTTTGCAGTTGGGAGCAGGGTGTGCTTTTCCAAAGTTAGTTTGGGGGGGGGGGGCTGAACCACACAAATTACGATTAATGAAAAATGATGGATGAAAACCAGTAACTAAAGACAGGAAACTACATTCCCGGCTAGGGGGTGCAATCCCCCCCCCCCCAACTGAATAGGAAACGAATACGCCTCCAGGCTGGTCATGTTGAGTACGCCTTTATCTGACAAATACTATTAGTTAATTCTCAACCATCATCCAGTGTTTGACGGCCAGCAAATGACGTTTTAGTGCACATGAACTACCGAAACGAAAATGTTTCATAGCTATGCCGCATTGCAGTTAAGTTGTCTCTCTATGGTTTATCGCATTAAGAGTTAAATCGCAACGGTTTCTCAAAGATTTGGCTCCAGATGACGGTACAGACAGTTCCAAATTTTGTCGGTGACAGAAAGAGCACTTTTTCACCCCTCAGCTTGGCTGGCGCTGAAATATCGCCCGCAGATCATGAGCGACTGTCTGCTGAATGCAAATAGCTAACGTCACCGTATGATGATGTGTTCAAACGCCGGCTATACAGAAACGTCACAGTCCACACGCGTGGCGCTGCGCTCGTGTGGCAGCGTTCGCTTTGACGAGCGCCCAGTGCGGCCAGCGCGGAGCCGCAAGCCTCCCTCCAGCAGCTGCGGCCAGCGCGGAGCCGCAAGCTTCCCTCCAGCAGCTGCGGCTCCGACGGTGCCCTCCGTCCCCGCTGTACGGGAGGGGAGTATACGACAGCCACCGCGCTGGCAGCGATAGACTTCGTCGCTCCAGACGAAACCCTAAGCGCGTGGAATATCCTCTGAGCACTGATGGGCCGAGATGGACTGGAGCGCCGGGCTCACTGACGCTGGTGGGAGCGGTGTCCTGCGATATCCGTGGTCAGCGCTCGCGGCTTGGTGTCCTGCGACAGCCGGGGTCAGCACTCGTGATCCGGTGTCCTGCGACAGCCGGGGTCAGCACTCGTGGTCCGGTGTCCGGCGACAGCCGGGGTCAGCACTCGCGGCCCTCTTTCCTGCGGCAGCTGGGGTCAGCACTCGTGGTCCGGTGTCCGGCGACAGCCGGGGTCAGCACTCGCGGCCCTCTTTCCTGCGACAGCTGGGGTCAGCACTCGTGGTCCGGTGTCCTGCGACAGCCGGGGTCAGCACTCGTGGTCCGATGTCCTACGACAGCCGGGGTCAGCACTCGTGGTCCGGTGTCCTGATTCACGTACTAAATATGATAAAATACCATATAACCAGGCTTATTATTAGTCGTAAGAGTAGTGACTGGCCCGGGCATCTTGCGACGAACGCGATCAGTTTGATACGCAGGGTTTTTTGATACAGCCGGGGTCAGCACTCGCGGCCCTCTTTCCTGCGACAGCCGGGGTCAGCACTCGCGGCCCTATGTCCGGCGACAGCCGCGGTCAGTGCTCGCGGTCCGGTGTCCTGCGACAGCCGGGCGCCCGCGACCCGGTGTCCTGCGACAGCTGGCACCAGCGCACGCAGCCCGGTGTCCTGAC